TCTTACTTCAGTCTAAGTGCAACCCACAGCTTCATTCTCTGTGTTGGAAAGTAAATTCTTTTTGCTCTCTTCTTGTCATGAGGCTCAAAATTTAATAACTGATGAGCTTGTTGAGCTGTTTTACAAGGTTACAAGCAACCATTTCAATAACTTCAAATTTACTGACGAGAAGAACAGCTACTATGAGAATATCATGCTTTCGCATGTGATTTGAAACATCTTGACATTTGTTCCGTTGCCTTCTTTTTTCTTAGATGTTTTGATGTCTGTGTTGTTGGTGTGTAATAGGCAACATCCCATTTCACCTCTGCATACAGAGGTGCATCCTATTTCCAGGCAGAGAGGTACAACAAAGGAATACTTTTTTCAAGAATATTGCTCTAACTCCCGCAGAAGGATGTGGAGGAAAGTGGCAATTTTACATTCAGGTTAAGGAGCTAGATCAATCCCAGTCCTTCACATTCACCTTTACATGTGAATTGCTATGACAATTGCTACCAGGCACATAAAAGACTAAGAGCTTTTACTGCATTTGCACAAGTGCACACCCTTCCCATCCACTGGCTTGCAAAACGTGAGGGGCTCAATGGAAGACCGTGTTCCCCGTCTCTCATTTTGAGTGAACATTTTATGAGAAAGGGTATTTGAATTTTCCATTTAATAAGTACATTTAAAACTATGTGTCAAAGATGGTAATCATTTACTATCTAAAAAATGCAGTGCCTTTTCAGGCTAGGTCTGCAAGAGAAGAAACCAGCAGCTGTTGAGCTCAGATAGGAAAATTGCAACAGGTGGCTTGGTAGAAAGGGTTTGACAAAGTAGGCAAACAAGTAACAAAAGCTAGGTTTGCTGGCAGAGAAGTCACGGTGGATTGGGCAAGGAAGCACAAAAGTAGGTACACAGGAATCAGTCTGTCAAGATTCTCTCAGAAATGAGAACAGAAATGCCATAGCTGGATACTATAGGCAAAAAGAATTCACAGGGTGTTTACACAGCATAGGCCAAGAGCCTGATTTTTGTTGCAGTACTTTCCAAGAAACCGAGGAGGCAAGGTGGAGGTCACGGCTATGCTACCCAGGGCTAGAAAAACAGATGGGCCAGGCAGAGCTATGAGTAGCCTAAGACAGAAAAGCAACAGCATTCAATGAACAGAAAATGGTATATCCAGAGAGATGTTACCTGTAGGAAGTACCCACTTACATATCCTAAAGGGTGGACAGACAATGTTAAAAGAAACTCTATTGCGTAGCATATACTGTACTGACACACACTGGAAGAGCCTCAAAACTTGAGTCTTAAATCTGTAGTATTAAAAGAATTAAAACAGCTCCAGTTTAAGTTTCAAGTATTGCTTCTTTAAACCTAATACTTAGTTGATAAGGGTATGTTTCCCATTTAAAGGCCCAAGAAAAACACATAAGGATTATATAAATTTAAAATGGAGTTCAGTTATGTTTTCAGTTATTCACCCCACTCTTGTGCAACTAGCTTGCAGTACAAAAGCACTGAACTTCCCCAGGCTTTTAAAGAAGAGGTTTCGTAGCACAAAACACATATACATCCAAACACCCCTAAGCCTCCAAGAGATTTGCCTTGGAGGAGACCACCAAGACTTAATCTCCTCCTGTGTCAAAACCCCAGAGAAGCACTCTGGCTCAAAACCCTCGAGAGGCGTTTCCAGCAGGTGGAGGTGTGAGGGGAGCGCCCCGGTCACAGCCCCTCACCTGCGGCCCAGGCCGAGGCCAGGGTCACCGCGGCTCAGGCTCCTCAGGCTGTGTGAGAGGCTGAGCCAAACCCAAAGCCGCCCCAGGGAAGTGCATGATTGTGCAACGGCTCCTGCT